GTGGTAATGATGTTTCGCTGTAGAAGTATCAGTTGTGACAAATGTACCAGTCTGGTAGGCAATATCGATGACAGGAGATGCTGTGCATATGTAGGGTATACATGAGACATCACTATAAAGCTGGAAATATGACACTGAGATGAAATTTCGCTGATGGGCTTAACAAGTTGGAGTAGGAAGATGAAGTCTGTGGGCTCGAAGAGAGATGAAAAGGAATTAACCAAAGTGAATCCCAGAGAAACCAAAATTAAAGAAAAGCCAACAGAACCTGAAGCTCCTGTGATATGTTAATATACTTGTAATACAAGAAGGAAAAGAGAAGAGCAGGAGCTTTTGAAAAAATGAGTCAAAATTTTCTCAGATTGATGTCAAACACCTGTGTCCGGCCCCGAGAAGTTCAGTGAACTCCAAGCAGAACAAGTATAACATGAATCACATCCACGTTCATGATAGCCAAAGTACTGAAATCCCAAGATGAAAAGGAGATCCCGAAAGGACTCAGAAGAAAAAGACACGTGACACACCAGAGAAGCATTTGAACAACGCGTGACTTCTGTGAAGATACAGTGGAGACCAGAAGACCATGGAAAGACATTTTTTAAAGCACTAAAAGCAGGAGAAAGGCCTGTCAACTCATATCCAGAGAAAATCTCCTTTATAAACAGGGGTGAACAACACATTCCCAAACACGAAAGCTGAGAGAATGTGTTATCAGCAGAACTACACTATAAATGTGCTAAAGAATGTACTTGGCTGATTGCAAAGGATATCAGATGAAAGGTTAGCTCTATGAGAAAGAACCCTAGAAATCATAACAGTGCTCTCTAAATTTTCTAGAATATAAAATCATAGAATATTTTACTCTATGATTTTATGATTTTTGGTTTTTTATGATCTTATAATTTTATGATCTAAAATCATAAAATGTACACGCTTCTGTATATCTCCTTTACCTGTTTTGAAGTCCTTGCTGTACCATGCACCAGTAGTTTAATTCTTCTTCTTTATTTATATTCTATTTGATGGCTATGACACATTCTGTTTATTCATTTACCAGTTGGTTATTCATTGTTTCCAGTATTCAGCTGCTGTCAACATTTATGTACATATCTTTGTGTATACATATAATTTCCTTAAGTGGATGCCAAGTAGCATGATTGACTCTTATTGTAAGTTTAGGTTTAGCTTTTTAAAAACTGCCAAATTATTTACAAAATAACTGCACCATTTCACACTTCCACCAGCAGCATATGCGCATCCCAGTTTCTCCACATCACCAGCAATCGTTATTGTTGATATTTTTATTTTTGCCATTCTAATTGATGTGAAATGGTATATCATTGTGTGTTTACTTTGCAACAATGAATGATGCTAAGCATCTTTTAATGTGCTAATTCCTATTCATAGCTATTTGTATATATTGGTAAAATGTTCAGATGTTTTGCTTATGTTTTAAATGGGTTGGTTGTCGTCTTATGGGTTATAGGTGCCTTATACAATCTGAATATAAGACTTTTACAGATGTAAAGTTTCTCAGTGAAAGAACAAACTATTATGTAGCAGACAGAATAATGCCCTTCCCCCAAGATACCCAGGTCCTATTCCCCAGAACTTATGAACCTGTTGCCTTAAGTGGAAAAAGGGATTTTGCAGCTGATTAATTTGCTTAATTTAAGATCTTGAGATGGGACCATTATCCTGGGTTAAGTGTGTAGACCTGCTGTAATCAAGAAGGTCCTTACAAGAGAAAAGAACTGGAGACTGGAGTGATGCAATTTAAAGATGAAGAGGGGCCATGAGTCAGGGACACAGGTGGCCTCTAGAAGTTGGGAAAGGCAAAGAAGTGGATTCTCCTTTGAAGCCTCCAGAAGGAACGTAGCTCTGCTGACACTTAGATTTTACGCTTCTGACTTCTCCATCAGTAGAATAATAGATTCATGTCTTATTATAAGCCACTAAGATCAAGGTAATTTGTTACATTAGCTGTAGGGAGATAATCATCTTTTAAAACTTAATAGTTTTCTATTTTAATGAAGTCCATTTTACTAATTTTTATGGATAGTGTTTTTGGAAGTTTTAAAAGTCTCATGGCCTTACTGTTCTTTCATTTAGGTCTGTGATCCATTTGGAGTTAATTTTTGTGTGTGCAGTAGGGATCTAAGTGGGATTTTTGTTGTTTTGGTTTGGTTTGGGGAATTTTTGCCCTCACACTTTTTCTTTTTGGTGTGTGGGTACCCAGTTGCCACAGCAACATTTGTTGAAAAAACAAACTACCTCTTACTGAATTGTCTTGAGACCTTTGTCAAAAATAAATTAACCATAAATATAAGGCTTTATTTCTGGGTTTAATTCTGTTCCTTTGATGTATACGTCTATTTTTGTGCTAATACCACTGCCTTAATTACTGTGACTTTATGTAAAGTTTTGAAATCAGATAGTGAAGTCCTCCAACTTTGTTTTCCTTTTTCAAAATTATTTTGGCTATGGTAGGTCCTTTGTATTTCCAGATAAAATTGAGAGTAAGCTTTCCATTTCACACACAGCCTTCTGGGATTTTATTAGGCAGTGCCTTGAATTAATGGAACGGTTTGGGAAGAATTGCTCTCTTGATAATACTGAGTTTTCCAATTCTCGATGGTGAATCTATCTCCATTTATTTAGTTTCCATTTATTTGGATCTTTAATTTCTTTTAGTAATATTTTATAGTTGTCATTGTACACATTTTGTACCTTTTTGTTAGAAGTTCAGCTGAGTGTTTTATGCTTTTGATGCTATTGTGAATGGAACTATTTTCTTAATTTTGTTTTCAGGTTGTTTATTGCTACTATATGTATATCTTTGTCTTATGTCCTGTGACCTCATCAAACTTTTTTTTTTAGTAATGCAAAACATTTTTGATATACTTGCCATTTTCTACATCCCAAGGTAATGTCATCTATGAATTAAGATACTTTTATTCCTTCCTTTCTAGTCTGGATGTCTTCATTACTAAACTTGTTAATTTATTTCATCAGCTAGAACCTGCCAGATAATCTTGAATAATAGTGGCAAGAGGGGACATCTTTGTCTTGTTCTCCATCTTAGGGAAAACGCATTCTATTGTTTACCATTAAATGCAATGTTAGCTGTGGCTTTTCGCAAATGTACTTTACCAGGTTGAGGAAATTGCCTTATATTCCTGTTTTGCTGAGTTTTGTTATCTTGAATTTGCCAGTACTTTTCTATGTCTCCTAAGGTTAACATGCGGTTCTACTCCGTAATTCTATATGGTGTACGACATTAATGCACTTTTGAATGTTAAATCAACCTGACTTCCTGTCCCCATGGTGTATAATTCTAGTCACCACTGGTCATGCTGTATCATCCATTTCATATGCTGCTTGCTTGGTTTGCTGCTTTTCTGTCGAGTGTCTATATCACATTATTCTGCAGGTTTCTTGGAAAAGGTAGGTGGGAGTTTGGAAAGATTGGAAAGGGTTGTGAGAAGACGTTCTGGGGAGATGGTTGTGCTCCATATGGACACCTGGTTGTGTACCTTTCTCAAAAGTCTCAAGGCTGTGTCAGTTTTACTTTTATTTTTATATAAATTGTGTAAGTTTTCTTAAAAGGCAGGGTGGGCCAGGCACAGTGGCTCACGCCTATAATCCCAGCACTTTGGGAGGCCGAGGCAGGTGGATCACAAGGTCAGGAGATGAGACTAGCCTGGACAACATGGTGAAACCCCATTTCTGCTAAAAATACAAAAATGAGCCAGGCATGGTGGCACATGCCTGTAATCTCAGCTACTTGGGAGGCTGAGGCAGGAGAATTGCTTGAGCCCAGGAGAGGTTACTGTGAGCTGAGATCGTGCCACCGCACTCCACCCTGGGCAACAGAGCAAGACTCTGTCTCGAAAAAAAAAAAGGTGATACAGAATTTTCAGGCTCCTAATATTGTTGCTTTTCGAACAAGTAAACTTTTTAAAAAAATTCTCAGACAGCATAAGTCATGTGACAGTGGTAATAAGTGTCAATATCATTTGCTATTATTGTCTTTTAAAAAGCAAACCCGTGTCTTAAGATTATTTGCTGTGACTCCTTCTCTCACCCAATGCTCTGGAGCTGCTCACCTGAGCCGGCGTCTCCCATTACTCACCTGTAGGTAGGATTCTGAGTGTCATTCTTACATTGAAGTTTAACAAATACACCAGCAATTTATTCCCAAAAACCTTGGTACTGCATGAAAAAGTGTTAAATGAAAAATGTTCTCATGAATTATAGTGAAAAAATAGATGTATTTTATCATAATCCAAGATATCCAATTTGTACAGATAGAAAAACCGATGAGAATGTATAAGAAACGAATACTGTAAAGGTGAATAGATTTGAGTGTAAAATGTAACATGAGGGTTTGTCGTGTGCCCCAGAGGAAAACGGGGGAGGTGGAGGGGGCCGCTCCATGTGAGGCACATTCTGCTTTCTCTCCTGTTACCATCATCAGCGTCTTGATCCTTAGGGAGCTGCATGGGTATCGAACACACCGATGTAGAAATAAATCACCCTCATGGGTATCGAACACACCGACGCAGAAATCACCTGCTTGGGTATCTAACACACTGATGTAGAAATAAATCAGCTGTATGGGTATCTAACACACCGATGTAGAAATAAATCAGCTGTATGGGTAACTGACACACAGATGCAAAAATCACCTGCATGGGTATCTAACACACACACCAACGTAGAAATAAATCAGAGCCCAGAAGAGCATCTCAGGACTAACCAGGGCTAAACATAGTCACACTGAGACTCCTGAGAGCCGCACAGGCCCTCCGCCTCCCCTTGCCCTCTCACTTTCTGACACACAAGAAAACACTTGGTTTCTTCCCAAACTGCTGTGCAGAGGAAATGTGTCAGTGCATCTTTGAGATGACAGTATCAAACATCTTATAGCATGTTTAAGGTGTTTTGGAAGAAAAATTCATTATGCTAAAGTAAATGGTTCATTATCTGAAAAGTGGTTTAACTTCTCGAGAGTGTCTACAGCAAAGTCATTGAACAACTGTTTAGACTTGTGTGAAGTAAATCTGTGGCGAGGGACTGAGATTGTGGTGCATGTTTTTGCTGCAACATATAGCAAATCGCCTTTCTTCTTACACAGATACCTCTTCTGGCTCAGAAGATGAAGGCTCAGTGCAGGGGGACTCCCAGGGCACCCCCACCTCCAGCCAGGGCAGCATCAACATGGAGCACTGGATCAGTCAGGCCATCCACGGCTCCACCACGTCCACCACCTCCTCGTCCTCCACGCAGAGCGGGGGCAGCGGGGCTGCCCACAGGCTGGCGGACGTCATGGCCCAGACCCACATAGGTGAGCACGCTTCACAGTGTCTTTCTGTGCCTGTTGTTTAAATGCCTTTGTGTGTGCACGTTCTCCTCTGTTTGCATCATGGCTGTGGAATCCCTTAGTGGAAAGAGCGCAGAGCTCCTCTGGCCCCTGGGGTGCTTTGGTTGGATTGTTTCTGGAAGATGCTTTACTGCTTCTCATGCCCAGGTCCCTCCCACAGCTGGAATTCCAGGGGCCTTGTTACTGGGGAATCCCGCAGCCATATCCGAATTCCAGGGGCCTTCTGTTCATAAGTCCATTCGTGTTCCTGGGGAATCCTGCAGCCATATCCGCTCCCATCTTTTCTTCTCACTTATGCTCCTACATGAAACCTTAAGAGTCCCAGTCAACAGGACAGGGTTTTAAAGTGTGCTCCTCCTGACCGCGGGAGTCATTTAAGGAAACGAGGGCTTTAATCACGGCCACTTTACGCTACTGTCTGCCACAGGTGTTCAGATTTCTTGGGCGTGGCGCACTGTTTTGTGTAGGTTCTGTGACAAGGGAGATCCTCTGTATTAGAAAAAGAACGAAGTCAGGATCACTGCCCCACAACGTTTGAAGATGCCGTGGAAAAGGAGTGAAGTGAGAATTATTAGAGGAAGAGTCTGCGCGTGGGGGAGCGGTGATGAGCCTCATGTCGCTCTGCCTCTGAATGGTTCAGGAGTAAATGTTTTCCATCAAGTACAGGACTAGGGTTGAATAGGATTTGGTGTGTGTCTCTATTAAAGCAGTAGCCGGAGACGACTGTGTACCATGTCGCCGATAACGGAGCACCAGCACAGGCTCAGATGCTCCCAGCACCAGCTACTGCAGGAAAGCCTGATCTCTGCAAAACCCTCAGTGGGAAGCAGGTGGACGTCATGTGTGATCAGATAGCCCACAGACACCCCAGAACCCCAGAATGTTCACTTCTAGATCACTGACTCCTTGACACCCAGAGGCGTTTCGGATTGACTTGGGTCCCAGCCCCTTCGGTGCTCACTGACACTGAAAGCGTCAGCTGTTTTCTGTCTGGAGCAGGAGTTTGCTGTCAGGAGAGCTGGGTCTGTCTCACTTTTCCCAATAACTGCTGCTGGGATCTTGAAGTCCCTTCTCCTGCTTCAGGCTTTGAGTGAGGGAAAAAAAATTGAAAATAATTTTTCTCTCTCAACTGTTGTGAGTATAAAGGAGAAAACAGAAATACACTCTAAAAGTTTGCAAAGTAGTACTCAAATGCAAAGCAGTGTTAAACTTCAGTATGACACAGTTTCAGGAACATGTACACTGGTTATGTGAATTAACCTATACTTGAAATCACAGTAGGTTAAATATTGAACAGAAATGTGTGACTGTTATGTATTTTTCCATAATAAAATTCCGTGTGTATATTGGATCCCAGGATATGGCTGAGGCTCTGCCAGACGTGAACGGGGAGGCCAGACACCGCCTCTGCCACTTGGTGGAAGCATTTGTATCCTCGGATTTTATTCAATTTAAGAAAATGCACAGAATCTTACCAAGGAAAACACATATTTTGAATAAATGGATCACTGCACTTGGGCCTCCCTTTGTGGGTTTACCCTTTCAATACTGGAGGAAGTTTTAGTATAAAGAATTAATTTATCCAAACTATGAGGGGCTCCTAACTCATGTACATCAGGGCTCAGTGTGACCCAAATGTAACTCTTGGGTGATCACATTCCGGTAATTTCTAATTGGGCACAAAGATAATCTTCCTAGACTATCTGGAAATTTTCTATAACTTGGAATTTTTTTGGAAAAGCCGTGGCAAAATAATGGAACTTAGAAGAGGAAAAATATTTTGTGTGCAAAACAAGAGAAGTAAAAAGTCAGATGTGCCTGTGAACGAGAACGTAGCATGTGATCGTGTGTGCACGAGTGTTGTAAGGAGTCTGGGCACAACAGAGTCACGCTGGCCAAGCCCTCCAGCAAGGGACCGAAGGGGCGGCCACAGAGGCTGCCTTGGTCCGAGGGGAGAAAAGCCAGGGCTGCAGACTCCAGGTCACGCAGTCTCAGAGCTGGCCGCGCTTCTACTTGTTGAAGCGAAATCTCAAGTCCTTTGTGGATTTTTCCCACCAGTTTATGCCAGCAGTTAAGTAGGGACATCTCACATGCATCTTCACAGTCAAGCCAGTTTGGCATAAGATAGGAAATCGCATTCTAGTTTTCTGTTTCCACTGCTGTACCCGCTGTCCATCTAGAAGCTGCAGCGCTTTCACACCTCGGAGCTGAGAGGAGGCCTCCCAGACCCTACCATCCAAGTCCGCGGAGGACTGAGGGTTGGTTCTGCAGGAAGTCGGGCCTCCTGCCTCCAGGTGGAAAGTCGTGGCACGGACGGACGGTGTGGCCGACCCTCCCTTAGTGAGAGCCGATCATTCTCTTCTCAGTCAGGGGTTCCAAGCGAGTGGCGTTGCCAAATCGACTTGTGACGCCAGACTGACACCCTCAGGAGGCGGCTCAGCACCCCCACCCCGCCCGGTTCTCGGATCATAAAGGAGCCTCGTTTCACGGCCTCTCTTGTGCCTCGATTTTCTGTTGCTGTTTTTGTGCGTTCGGTTGATTTCGCCGTCTAGACGGCCTCCGGGTGCGGTGCTGACACGGGCAGCGTCCGGTGAAGAAAGGCTTTGGGGATGAGCACCACTTTCAGCAGCACAGAATGTCACGCTTCTGTGGCTTCTGTCACGTGGGACAGTGGTGGGTGATCCTGAAAAGCTGCTGTCAAAGGAGGATTCAGAATCCGGATCTGCACTGTGGCGCCCATCAGGATTCTAGGTGTGACGGGCGTGGTCCGTGGGCTGCTTGGCGCATCTTCAACGTTTTATTCATTAACTAGCAAAGCAGGCTTTTCCCCATTTAGCCACGTCCGGCTTGGCTTTCTCTCCACCGCGTGCTATAAGAGAAAGCTCCATGCGCTCATTGGCCTCACGCAGTCCTTAGTACACATTAGGGTGTAAATGTGGTTTTTTGAATGATTAGTATTGTTTGTACTAAGACAAATAATAATAGTTCTTGATGTTTTCCCCCTTTAGTAAAGAAAATCCTATGAACTGTGTATGTGTTAGCTCATGCAATCCACCCAACTACCGTACATGGTCATGGCCATTACTGTTCCCATTTGATGAATAACTGAGGCATGGAGAGCTTAAGGGGCATCCTCAATCCCCAGAAGTTTCCAGAGCTGGGTTTCCATTTCCAGGCCCTGGGCTCCAAAGCATGAGTAAAGCCCTGGGCTGTGTCGACGGTGGCCGACAGGAAACGGGACCCTTCCGTGAACACACACACGGTTCCCGACACCCTGCCATCGCCGGTCTAGCGTTATTCTAGTTAAAACGCCGCTGACGTGGCTCCTGTTAGGAAATTGAGGTTTCACTGAACTCTGCTCCATTTGCGGCAACATGAGTTATGCTGGGGTCCCCCTTTGTGCCGGATGTTTGTGGCAGACGTGGCTGAGACCGGCTTTGGCTTCTCACGACACCCCCAGGGTGAGCGCCTGTGCTCCGGTCTCTTCCTGAGCTATGGCGCAACCTGCGAGCAAACGCCACAACCACCAGAAACACTCATGATGTGCTTCTTTACAGAAAATCATTCTGCACCTCCTGACGTAACCACGTACACCTCAGAGCACTCCATACAGGTGGAGAGACCACAGGGTTCCACGGGGTCCCGGACAGCGCCCAAGTACGGCAACGCCGAGCTCATGGAGACCGGGGATGGTACGTCCCAAAGCAGAGATGCGTTTTTTCTGGTAAACGGTTTGTGCTGATGTCCCGTTCTGTGCCCGTGGCTGGGTGTGTTTCTTCCTGGGTATAGTCTGCTGTCATTTTATCTGCTGAATAACTAACAGTGGTTCAGCAACTGAGAATTCTTGTACAGGTGTTAAGACCATGAACAGTCACTTAGAAGAGCAAGATGAAGTTAAATGTACAACAGAATTACTGTCAGATGGGCCGATAATGTTACTTTAGACTTAGGAGGAAAAAGGGTCTTTTTATCCATGTTGGACAGAGATGTCAGCGACTTGGTAACAGGCTGTGGCTGAGGGCTTCTTCCTTCCTGTGGCCTGGTCTTGGTACGTTCTGATTACAGCAGCTGTTTGTATCACCTAGCCCCTGTTCTATTTAAGTCTCAGTCCTTCCCGGGATCATACAAGTCAGTGTAGAACCTAGCAGTGAATGAAATACAATGCCCCCGTGTGAAGCTGCATGGAGCAGCCTTGGTGTGCCCTCATCTTGTGGTGCAGGGAACTCACAGGCGGACAGGGAGGCCTATCGGAGCGCCGACAGGCACAGTGGACAGGGAGGCCTGTGGGAGCCCCGAAAGGCACAGTGGACAGGGAGGCCTGTGGGAGTCCCGAAAGGCACAGTGGACAGGGAGGCCTATCCGAGCTCCAAAAGGCACACCGCTGCATCCTCAGGTGAGGCAGAGCCCGGCCGTGGCTTTGCAAGTGTCCAGTTAGTGCACTTGAAATCGCCCTGGTTGCTGGTGCGATGACTTTTGCTGGAATGCCTTTCTGTGTCATTATTTGCTTTAGTTCTCTGATAAGTTCAGTCTATAGTAAATTGGCCGTTTTTGTTACTCTTGTCACGGTCATTTTAGTAACTATGTCATCTTTCAAGTCTGTCATCTTCGCCTTTGTTCCCCAGGTAAATCCCGCGTGGTGTATTGTGTCGTCTTGATGTGTCACAGCCTCCCACACCAGATCCCACAGGGGCCCTCGCTGGGAGGGTGATTCTGGGCCACACCCCAGACGTCATGAGCTAGAAGTTCTGGGGGCCCTGAGGTGATTCTGACGTCTGCCAAATTAAGCTTGAGAATCGTAGCCTGGCGGGGATGGTCTGATTGGTCCGAACCAAATTAGTTGGGCTATTTAATGGGAAAATACTATGCTTAGATGTTGAGAGATCTGGATTGTGTGTTTTTCTGTATTTTCAGAGATATGAAATATTTAATGTCTCAATTCTGAAAGTGCCCACAGAGCATTTTGAGACACTGATTAAAAATTCTTGATAGAAAAAATTTCCTTGAATTCTGTTCTATTCCCCCCAAATGTTGAGGTCTGTTTTTATGGTCCAGTGCAGGGGCGAACAAGGGCTCTGCCTCAGGTGAGGGAATGGCCTGCCAGCTGCACCTGCAGAGACCCCTGCACCGTCCAGGCCCACAATTCTGGCTGATGGTTTCCCAGGTCCTGCTGGCCTGCAGCGTGTGCCTGAGGAGGATGCTTTCGATCTAGTTGGAGCATCAGTGTCTTGATCCTCTGTCTTGTTCATTTATTTGATTGATTTATCTTGAAATTTGAAAACTGACTTTTTCATTTATTAAATCAGTTGATTTTCAGAGTGATGCAGCATTTGCTGTAATTAGCACAGTATTATAAAATGGGGTTTTTTCTCAGTCCACTTGGATAGGTATGTGCTAGTATTCTGTTACACAAAAATTTGAGTTTAGAGACTTCTGTGTTTGAGGATGCATTGCCTGTGTGTGGGCTGAGCTGCGTGGGTTTGGAACATGTGTGAGGAGCTCAGCCTTATTAGGAGTGGACAGGGCTTGGACGTGGTGGTGTTGGAACCCGAGCCCGGGGCTGTGGGATGCTGGGGGTCCAGACGTGACTCACCAGCCCGATGTTCTCGTGCCTCCGTGAGCCGAATGCTGACGGTCCCTGGAGAGACAGACTCAGGGAGGGCCTTACTGCTCCACTGATGGTCTCGCCCTGTTGAGAAGGGGGACCTGGGGCAGTGAGAATGAGGAGTCTGCCCTCTGCAGATGACAGTTCTGTCCTGAGAATCAGAGCCGGGGTCAAGCATGTGGTCCTGAGGCTCTTCCCAGCATGACCGGCAGAACAGCGCATGCTGGAACGTGGGAGACGTTCGGGTCCGATGCATCTCTGTCCTGTCTCCTGCGTAGCCACAGGGCTACTGTACAGCATGACCACCTCAGGCCCTTCCCGGGATGGCGTCTAGAAGGACGCCAGCCTGTTGCAGCCGTGCTGGGCAGGGGGGCTGTGGGACTGTGGGTGCTCGTTGAAGCTGTGGTGATCGCTTCCCCCACCCAGTGGTTCCTGTTTTTCAGGAGTACCAGTAAGTAGCCGGGTGTCAGCAAAAATCCAGCAGCTCGTCAATACCCTCAAACGACCGAAACGACCACCTTTACGAGAATTCTTTGTCGATGACTTTGAAGAATTATTAGAAGGTGAGAGAACTCTTTCCCACGTGTTTCTTCCAGATGCTCCTATGGTCCCATAAGCAATGACGTTTTTTTCTGCAGGGCTATTTTACTTTTTAAGAGCAGTAATCTTGGCATTCATTGGATAATGGGAACCCAGGTATAGGGAGCAGGTGATGTTCCCAGGCAGCCTCGGTGTTGGCAGGTTTCTAAACCTGGTTGTTAGTCGTCCTCTGCAGGAGGTGATTTTGTTCCGTTACCCAGGTCAGGTCTCTCTCTAAGAACTCTAAGAGTATAGAAATACAAGTAAAGTATAAACATACAGAAAAACAAGTAAACTGGGGAAATCCTTCGCTCACAGCAAAACAGGCGTGTGAGGTGCCGCCTCCTCCCTCCTCCTCCTGCCGCTCCTTATAGATGCCGGAGCTGCTGCCTTTGCCCCCAAATGCTCCTGGGTCTTTTTAGACAAACAACTTAAAGTTGAAACAAAGCACAAGAACTGCTCATTGTAGCAAACTTGAGCTCCTTATTATCTTATGCATTAAACCACAAGTAAAAGCGGCTGGTTTTTCTTCTCAGTCATAAAGTGAGAGACAAGTCTGTTCCAGAAATGGAAGAGATAATTTCCATTCTTCACCTCTCGCAAGGATTGGGCAGGTGGTATTTATGATGCACTAATTTTAGTTTTACTCAGGAAAATACTCGCTCCGTGTTGCTGTTATTCAGAGTACTTGTAGCAGATTTAAATGTACAGCTCAGACCAGGTGTGGTGGCTTATGCCTGTGATTCCGGCACTGTCGGAGGTCAAGGTGGGCAGATCACTTGAGCCCGAGAGTTCAAGACCAGCCTGGGCAATATGTCAAAACCCTGGCTCTACAAAAAAAATATATATATGTATACACACACACACACACACACACACTAAAATTAGCTGGGCATGGTGGTGCATGCCTGTAGTCCTAGCTACAGGCTAGGACTGTAGCAGAGGCTAAGGTGGGAGGATAACCTGAGCCTGGGAGGTCGAGGCTGCAGGGAACTGTGATCATGCCATTGCACCGCAGCCAAGTCAGAAGAGAGAGACCCTGCCTCGGAAAATAAATGTACCATTAATCTTTAAGGACAAAATATAATTTAGCAAGATTTAAGCAATTTGGGTCCAAAATCACTAGTTTATGTTGATAATGGAAATTTTCAGCATGGCTGTTTGAATTCCAGGCTCTCTGCCTGTATGCTGCTCAGTTCCACCTGTTGTCAGTTGCAGGTGTGTCCAGGTCCACCTAAGCACTCCACCTACATGCTGCCTTGGAAATTACAAGAACTGATTTTTTACCAGCATTCGTGATGCTTGTGTATAGACCCCAATTGTAGAAAAGCATGCTTTTCTATCAGCCAATAAATGTGCACCTTAAGTATAAATCTCCTGGCCTCTTTATAAAGAACAAAAAGTAGCCACGCTAATGTGGATGCATTTCTCTCATAACCTCTTGTATTCAAATGATTTAGTTCAACAACCAGATCCGAACCAACCAAAGCCGGAGGGGGCCCAGATGCTGGCCATGCGTGGAGAGCAGCTGGGCGTGGTCACGAACTGGCCGCCGTCGCTGGAGGCCGCGCTGCAGAGGTGGGGCACCATCTCGCCCAAGGCGCCCTGCCTGACCACCATGGACACCAACGGGAAGCCCCTCTACATCCTCACTTACGGTAATCCCGAGGCTCACCCTCTGCCCTTTGCCCACCCCCTCTCGCAGCCACTCCCGAACGCACAAAGCTCAGTGTCCGTTCACATCCTCACAGTAATCCCGAGGCTCACCCTCTGCCCTTTGCCCATGGCCACGCACAGCCACTCCCGAACGCACAAAGCTCAGTGTCGGTTACTTCTGGTGACTGATGGATTTTAAGCTGCCTTATGTTTCTGGCACAGAAATAAATGGAATCTCGAAAGTTATTTTGTTAAATATATTTTGAGTTAAAACCAGAAATGGCTGCTTGAAGCAGTGACCATAACTCTTAATAAGATGTTAGATTTTCTTAAATACATACGTGATTATTGAAATGCATGCTTTCAGCAAAGATTGGTAGTTAGAAAAATCTGTCTAAGCTTTCAGATATGTATCACTCAGAAGAAACAAAATCGGTTTCCAAGGGACTTTTCAGAAGGCCAGAGAAACCACCTTTCCCTTAAGTCTTCAGTACAATTAATACAGTCTGAAAACTTTTGCACATGGTTAACGATAGCAGAGAAATGCATTCTCTTTTTTTCTGTGGATAAGAGACCATGGAGGAGCAGATTGTCAGGCTATTTTCTCTGCTTCAGCTTTACAAAGAAAACAGTAACTAAAAAGCTGGCATGATGCTCGTGCTATAGTCCCAGCTACTTGGGAGCTGAGGCAGGAGGATCACTTGTGACCAGGAGTTCGAGGCTGCATTGAGCTATGATTGTGTCACTGCACTCCAGCCTCAGTGACAGAGCAAGACCCCATCTCTAAAAAATTAATTCGAGTTTTCAAAAGATAAGAAAATAACTAAAGGACCAAAATGGTTCATTATGTCTGCATGTCTGAGATTTATGTTGACAGTTGAAATTTTATTTTATTTATTTTTTTTCTTTTTGACTCTTTTTTTTTTTTTTTTTAAATTATACTTTAAGTTGTAGGGTACATGTGCATAACGTGCAGGTTTGTTACATATGTATACTTGTGCCATATTGGTGTGCTGCACCCATCAACTCGTCATTTACATCAGGTATAACTCCCAATGCAATCCCTCCCCCCTCCCCCCTCCCCATGATAGCCCCGGTGTGTGATGTTCCAAATTTTAAACATAGCTGTTTCAATTCTAGGCTCTTGGGCATGGTACAGTACGTCGTTCCACCTGTTGTCTGTTCGCAGGTTTTGTTTTTAACTTTAGTTTTGTTATAACACAACACTTTTCTGATTGCAGGTAGGAAAGGAGTTGATTTCTCCATTAGCCATGGAGGCCCAAAGCCAGATGCTCTGTTGAATCATGGAATCTAAGTAGAGCCCAGCCTTTCGGGTGGGGCTCCGGAGGCGGCAGCTGTTGACCTGTGCATTTCACCGACAGATGGGGGATTTGGCCTAGGAGCATACTGGGTTTGGGAGCGTGTGTTTTGTAGCTCCTTTGCTTTATGGCTTCATTCAGTGGTTTTAAATGGATAGTGTGTGTCATCCATGATGAAGCATAAGCTTTACTTTTAAAATTATGCCCTCAGAAATAGGTTTATTCAGTCAAAGGATGAAAGACTTTTCTATGTGACCCTCATCTCCGGCCAAATTCAGCCCTGAGCTAATTGTGTACTTGGAGTCACTGCTGCATGACAGCTGCTGGCCTCTGAGGCCTCCCCGCCTACATGCCAGGAATTCCAGGAGCAGCCGTGCTCTTCCGGGTGCATGCGTTCACTCTGAGCACTAACACACGTTCACTTGGACGTTTTAAGCATGCAGTATGCGTTGGCATGGGACTAAGTTTTAGGAAATTAAAGACGAATAAGACACAGTTCTCACGGGCTTATGATCTCGATCAGAAGGATCGCCCCTCTCTGCTGCTGGAACATTGAACAGTGCTGGCGTCTTTCCCCTTCCTGCAAGGTTAAGATAAATGGGAGACGTAAGACACAGACTGAATATTCATATGAAAAGTTGGAGTCATCAGAACTCGTGTCCCCAACCAATGCATTTTAACTCCTGTTTTAAAATCATCTATATGTTGTGTATTTAATTACCACATTAATTGCAGGCCGTGGGTTGATCTTGGTTTTACTTGTTAAAGGAATATAAGAAAGTGACACATTTCCAAATGTAAGATTACAGCTTATCAGATGAAAACGCAGTGAACACTGTGGAAAGCTCCCTCTGCACAGAAATGCTAATGTAGATGAACGAATGATTGGCTGTTGCTGAGATGACTCAGAAACAAGCTCGTCGAATGAGAATTGTTCTAATACTGAGTAACCTGGTGTAACTGAAGGGCTGTATTCTCTAAGCTCCTGCTGTTTCCCCTCAACCCCCAAATTTAGCTTCCTACGAAGCGCTGGGATAGCAGAATTCCCAGCTGATAAACTTAGGATCATAATAGAAAGTGTAGTGGCTAATGAAAGCCACAAGTCAAACTTGTGGAACATCTTATAATCTGTTTTCCACCTTAGACTACCCGTGGCATTTCATAATCTTGTAAAAATAAGTCACGCTGTGCCGTTAATTGCCCTTCACGTCCTGCGTCCAGCAGCTCTGCGCTACACTCTGCCTCTGTGGTTTTCGGGAGAGACCTACACATTCATTTTGCGTTCCTACCAAGCCAGATGCTCATGTTCATCTCCCTTTTAATGTTTTATTTATGGTTTTCCTATTACTCCAGGTGTTTCGAGCAATCTACACGCTTGAGCTAGCAGCGCACTGGGCCACCCTTCTGTGGCCTTGCTGCTCTTTTGCATAGTTGATGGTGTGTCTCAAGTTCCCGCCTCCTTCCCGGCTTGCTCTGGTTCAGCCCATCGCCACCCACTACTTCTCCCCTCACCAGTTACACTGTGTACATTGCCTGTTCCTCGGTCCAAACCAAGTGAAATCACAATATCTAATACAACAGTGCTGACCTCACACACATCTCCTTTATGCATCAGTTAAGAACTGCTGTATCTTTATATCAGCAGCTTAACTTCTTGCCTTTCTGTTTGAGAAGTATACCAAATATATTCAAGAATTTTGCCAAAAGTTTGCACGTGTTTTATCAAACTCTCTATTGTTAACTAGCTTCTGTGGAACTTAGGATGTCAAGACTCTTAGCTGAGAATGAAGTTGAAATTTTCACAAACTAGAATGGTGCTAATCGAGTGTAATTGATTATTCAGTTGCAACACATTGTTTTCTCTCAATTGCAATGAATTGATATTGTTTACCCAACTATAATAGTTCCCTAATTCTTATTCACATTAAAGAAATCCGAAGCCACAGAATAATAGTTTTTGTTGGGGAAGAAATACCCAAGTTACATCTAATGAGCCAGTGATCGTTTTCAGGAAAATAAAATCCCCAAATAGAATTGCAGATGACTGTAAAGCTGCCAGTCTTGAAGACTACCTATGTGTTGAGGATGAGGAGCTAAGGAAGACGGAGGAGGTACATGAATAAAGTGTGTCTAGCAAAATGCTCAAGAATATGCTAGAATGCACACTGTAACTTTGTATTTCATACAGCTTGCCTGTGACATTAGTAAAATGAAGAAACATTTGCTGAACCCATACTATGACCAGGACATGTCCTAGGAACTAGAACAAAAAAAAAAAAAACATTCTCTTCATGTTCTCATTAGCAAGGATAAATACTGGTGGAAACAAATAATAATACCCGAGGACCCTCATTCCCATAGGAGATAAACAAATTCAGGGTTTTAAATTTGCACCGTGTTGTAAACAACGAAATCTATTTAGCGTTTACATTTAAAATAGGGAAAAGATTAAAACTGATTGGCATTGAAACAAAATAGTTAAGATTGCTGTTACCTTATACACTATTAAAGCATTATCGTGTCTTTTAACACCTTGACTACGAGAAGCTCTCGCAGCTGAAGCCTCTGAGACTAGCTTGTAAAAGGCCATTGTTAATTTAAGAACTCATTTAGGCTTTAAAGGCATTGTTATTGATCTCAGACTGTTATATTTACCATTATCTTATCTGAATCCAAGGATTCATCATTAAAAACCCTAAAACCCTGAGGTTAGGAAAGTTTGAAGTGAGAAACACAGGACTTGAGTTGGAGCCTCTTGAGGTGTTTCTGCTTGTTCCTCAGTCCCGTGGGACCGACTGTGGATGAGGACGTGTCACCGGGCGTGACTTTGTGGCAGTGACGTTGTGCGGTGCCCCACAGGACTCTCCTCCCTAGAACCTTCCCACGGTTTCTGTGCTGACCATCGTGTTTTCAGGGCTTTGCTACAGGCACCTCGTGCACTCAGAGGGATTTGTTTTGTGCCGGCCTTGTTCCAGCGTCCGGGCAGCTCTGACTGTTGCAGTTGGAGTCATTGCTTTACTCCTCTTGACTCCAGGACTCAGGATGAGTTGGAGCTTTGATCTGCAGGGAGAAGTTCTTGGGGCCCTCCTGCTCCCTGCAGTGTCATTTCAGCTGGGCAGATCCCAGCCCTGTGACGGTGTGCACTGTCAGCTCCCCCCACCGCTGGCCCCACATCACAGATCAGAAGACAGGCCAACACTTGGTTTTCACTTTTTATTTTCATTCTCTCTCCTGAAGCTTTTTTTAGAATCCCTGTTGTACTTTCACTCATTTCCATTCTCGCCTACCAGTTCCCCTTTGCTCAGCTGCCCCCAGTCAAGATACAGGAAGCAGAGTGGACTCAGCCCTGGACTCGTTTGCGGAAGCAGCGCTCTGTGTGGCTTAACATGCACATTGTCTGTGACTTGTATTCATAGGCAAGCTGGGACGAGGAGTATGAAGGTCGCTTACAGCATCCTGCACAAATTAGGCACAAAGCAGAACCCCATGGTGCGGCCTGGAATAGGGTAAGTGCACCTACATTGTTGAATCTACAGAACACACAGTCCTGTGTGGAAAAGATGCCCACTGTTTAAACATTGCAGAGTTCAGTGCCACCTCCGCTTCCACTGGAAAGCAATTTTCCTTCTTAACTGCTACCTGGTAAGTTACACAGACACATACTATTAATGGTATCTCCATTCTAATGTTACATTCCGAGCAGGTAATGGTCTTGTCCATGCCTTATGCCCCAGTTAGATGTGGAGCTGGGTATAGAACCTGGTTTTGTTGCATTTATATGTACAGCTTTTTACCTATGTGCTTTACGTGCCCCAAAGGTTAGGTTATCCTACCTAAAGGACTCCAAGGTGAATTACATAAAGACATCATTTAGAGCTCCATAAACCAACAGAAGCATGAGTTTGATTACTTAAGCAATATAT